ATCCTTTCACTATATATATACATATATATGTATGTGTGTATATATATATATATATATATATATATATAAAATCATGTTATATAATTTATATATTTTATAGTTTTGTCAATTATACCTCAATAAGCTGAGAAAGGGTAGATAATATTTGCTAAAGGAAGTGCTATGACTATACCATATATGAACAAACTAGTTGTACATAATAAAATTATTTTAGGAGATAAAAGAGCAAACATTTAGAAACCACTGCCCTATGAGATATGAACTAAAGAGAATTCAAACACAATGATTAAGATAATTTTTCTTTAGGTTGATAGTTTCTCCAACACAGAGAATGTTTCTTGAAAAAAAAACAGTGTGTATGGACCAGGGTGAGGTAATAGTTTATGTTCTTTCCTGGAGAGATAGTGTGGCATTGGGCTTTATACCTTCCTGACATTCCTGAGCTTCAATTTTCATGGTGATCCAAATGAACCTTAAACTGTGAGAAGCACTGGTAAAGAAGAGGCCATTTGTAGGAAAGATATAATCACCAGCTATATAAGCAACTCAGGTGGGAACTTTTTGATGCACCTGCTTAACTAAAGCTGAGTAAGGCAAAATAATGAAGAGTTTAACCCTAATGATAGATTGACATATATAAATGTCCCTAAGCACACAACTCACTGTCCTCAACTAGGGAATTTGTTGCCCCAGGAAGCACTGGGCAACGAAAGTCTAGAGACATTTTTGATTGTCACAAGTGGGAAGAGGAAGGCTACTACTGGCATTTGGTGAGTTGATACCAAAGATGCTGCTAAACATCTTTTTTTTTTTTGATGCTGCTAAACATCTTAAAATGCACAGCACAGCCCCCACAACAAAAAAATCATTTGACTCAAAATGCTAATAGTGCTGACAATAGAGAAACCCTAGCATAGATTATGCAAACATCCCTACATAAAGGTGTGTTAACTGGAACTGTTCATGAAAAAAGGAGCAATAATTTGACTACACAGCTCTGAGGGGATGAATTTTATATCTGGGCATTTTGCATCTCAGGGTCTATGCAGCTGTCAAGACTATGTGTACCCTGGCTAAAAGCTCTCAAAATCATTTATCTGCTATTTCTAGCAAACTCAAGAGTCAATGATAATCTGTATTAGCATATAAAATCAGTCAGCATCACTGCCTAAAACCTGTTACTATGTGAAGAAAAATAATGGAGACAGAAAATTAAGGTACTATTTCATTTAAAACCTAATCCAACTGAAGAAGAAAGCAGGCGTAGGGCCCTTAACTCCATACCCTCCTTAGCAAAAGTCTATACCTTCATTTTCCACATCCACAATCCCTTGTTTGCAATTTCAAAAAGCTAATAACTATGCAATATTCTTTTCTAAATTGTGGCTGCACTTCTTATCTGAACTCATCATCTGGCAGCAAAGCCTGAAGAGAGGCAAGGCTATTCATTATCTTAATTATCCCACTTAGTGTAACTATTCATAGGGTTCACTGCAGAAGTATTCAGAGGTTTGCTTAGGAGTGGTGCCACAGGGTTTGCTGGAGCTGTATATATGATAGATGCTCCTTACTGCCTTTCTAAAATTTGAAAAACTGTAACTTTGAAAACATTTGGCTTCAAAAGTTTTGGATACATGATTTATGGACCTCAAATGACTAAAATACAGTCAACAGCAAATATTTGCTGAAAGTATTCATATACATTTGAAAAAAGAAAAGACACACACATACACAAATGCCTACATTAGTAATTAGCAGTATGACAATCAGTTTCTTTATCTAGGGCACTGTGTAAAAGTCAGGCTTGCAGCTTCAAATCCTACAAGGTCCTGCTAACTCTGCATAGAAATGCCTTTCTTCAAGTCCATAAACTAACCTCAAACTCAAATTCAGCCTTCTTGGTAAAAAGCAAGAACAGTGAATGATTTAGGGTAAGCCCCTTGACTATACCAGAAGTGCTAATTCCAATTCAGTAGTATAATCAGCCTCTCTCTCTCTCTCTCTCTCTCTCTCTCTCTCTCTCTCTCTC